CATGCTGTGCAGGGGTTGAGGTTGCACGCAGACAGAAATGCCGAGGGGGTGAGTAGCTGTAGCCCCTGCAGAAGCCAGCTCCCTCCTGGAAATGACAAGCCCGAAGTTATTCTCAGGGCAGTGCAGCCAGCCAGATAGATGGTAAACCTCCCCGCATGCTTCCTGCACTTGAAAGCTGAATGGGAATAACTGGACGTCCCCCAAACAGATGTTGCCACACTGGAGCATGGCGGTTTGGCTAGTTGGAAATCTTTCTCCACCCCATTTTTTGGGCCAGTTAGAGCAGCTTTCAGAAACCTCCTACATTGCACACTGTTCCTCTTCACCCAACCCCTCCAGGGACACACACATGTGGCAGAGGCGAAGCTACATTTGCATCAGCCAAAACCATTTTTAGATGTGACCGCAGCCTCTCTTAGGCTAGAGACAGACATTCAAAAAGCCCGAACCTAAATTGATTCAATCTTTGCAGGTTAGTCTCACCTACGTAGATTGAACCGATTTGTAAGTGAATAGACATTCACTTTTGATTCAGGAATGCAGCCACATGTCTGTAGAAGCTCAGGCTAGAAGCTGAGGGGCGCTAGAGCAGCCCTCCCTTTCCTTCCACAGTCGCAAGATGAGAGAATCTGACCTGGAGGGTATGGTCAGGCTCCCGCCAGGGTGTTAAATATGATTAGGGTGGGGTTTAAATCCTTACCCTGGCCTGTAGGGACCCCAGACTGGGTGTGCCTGGAGGGCAGTAGCATGGAGGCAATGCAACTGCAGCTGTGGGCGGGTGCCTTGGCGACCGGATTGGTCGCATGGGACGTGTCAATCGTTTTCATGGCTGTCTTGCGTGGCTTGGACGCACTGGCAGGCCTAGAGTCCAGCAGCTGTCTACCACACGGACTCATGTACCTGCAGCTGCTGCTGTGCCCCCTGTCCATCACTGTGCAGTGCTAGGCTGGCTGCAGCCACACTAGAAGCTGTGCGCTGGGCAGGGCCAGTGGGGATGTTCTGCCTCCCTTGTCTCCTGCTGTTGCTGCTGCCTCTGCCACACTTCTCTGGGTGGGCAGATGGGAAGCTTCAGCCCGGTGGTTTCTGCCCAGTGCATAGAGCTCCAGCTCCTGGTTGCCTTCCACCCACTCCACCTGTCCTCAAGGGCTGCTTGCTCATTGCACAGGGCAGCTGGAGCAGGTGGAAGGAAGCTGGAAGTCAGAGCTACATGCACTGGGCAGAATCCACCAGGCTGAAGCTTCCCACCCAGCCACCCAAAGCAGCGCAACAGGGCACGGGCAGCATTGGCAGCAGCAGCTGGAGGTGAGGGAGGCAGAACAGCCCCGCCAGCCCTAGCCAGTGCACAGCTTTTGGTGTGGCTATAGCCGGCCAGGTGCTGCGCAGTAACAGAAGGGGCGTGGCAGCTGTTGGCACGTGAGCCCGCTGCGCCGGGTGGCTGCCAGGCTCCATGCCCGCTGGCGCCTCTGAGCTGGCCAGTCCACATGGCCAGTCCGGCTGCCACGGTGCCCACCCACAGCTGTACTGGCATCGCTTCCATGCTGCTGCCTGGTCAGTCGCCACCCGTGCCACTGAGCTGGGCTGTCACAGAGCCCTAGCTGGCTGGGAAGGGCCTTGCTCCTGTGACCCACCCTGGGCTGGCCCCACCAGGGCCCTTCCCAGTCGGCTGCAGCTCCATGACAGTCCTGCCTGGCCTGGGCATGGGGAGCTGAGAGTAATCTGGCTGCACAGCTCCCGTGGCTCCAGCCCAAGCCGGGCCTGCTGGGAAGGGCCCTGCTTCTGCAGCCCAGCCTGGGCCAGCCCCTCCATGCCCACCTTCAGCAGTTCCCACAGGCTGGCCTGGCTTACCTGTCCAACCCCAGCCACAGGCAAGGCTGGCAGATGGCTGGGCCATGCCTGCTGGCTCTGGCCACACGCCTTCCCCTGCTGCTGTAGCAGCGAGGGGCGGGGGTTACTCTGATAGGAGCTGCTCTGCCTGACCAGGCAGTTCCCAGGGGGAGAGGGGAGGGAAAGGGAAATAAACCCCCTCTCTGCCTCTTTAGCCTTAGGGGGCCATGCTGGGTAGTGTCTGGCCACACCTCTGCTCCAGCTAGTGAGCAGAGGGGAGGGGCCAGCCCTGCTCTCTGGGGCAGACAGCACAGCCCAGCCCAGGGCTCCAAAGCATGCTAGGATGCTGGGGCTTCTGGTTTAATTTTAACCAGAAAAGGGTCTGGGACAGAAGTTCCATAAACTAGAGTGACCAAAATCTGTTAAGTCTGATACTACATTCAACCAGGTTTATCTGAAACCAGTTTCTGCTGTTTTGAAATTGGTTTATGTGCACTGAACTTCTGTTATAGGCTTAAACCAGTTTCACTTAAACTGGTTTATGTGTAACTTCTGTCCCTTTAATGGTTTACTTTTGGGGTAGTTTGCACATGAAAAGTATGTTGGGCAGTAGTGAATTATGCACTGTAGCATGTTCTTCATCCTTTTTCCCTCTCCCAGTCTACCCTCTCAATTTTTCAAATGTCTTTCAGTAGTAGTTCTCTTATTAGAGGATTCAGGGCTGGTACAGGGTGTTTGGTGTAATGATGTGACCAGCACTGCCTTATCCTCTTCTGAGTAAAGGAGTTTAATTTTCAACTTATATCATTTAGGTAAACTGTACAATTTAATTTTTCCTATATCAGGATTCACAGATGAAAGAATGTCTTTTGACGTACTCCAAAGTGACATTCAAATACCATTTAATATTCTATTAAGTAGCTAGACAATGTGATTTTTACAGTTCATATTTGGATATTGCGTGATAATCTGATAATCAACATAACTTCACTCTATATGGTCACAGGTATTGGGAAATCCTATTGATTTAAACAGGAATGTCACATAGACTTGCTGGATTGGGCCCTCTATGATAAAGTTAATACAAATTGTTAATAAAACACAACAGATGATTTAAAAGAAAACAGAACAGGAAAACAGAAGTTACTGATGACGTGAGATTCTGACCTTTCTATGAATAAGAACAAAACCCAGAAGATTGGGCAAGGATGAATGATGTCCCAGTACAAAATCATAAATACATTCACTTCTGTTAAAGTGATCACACATAATATGTTTACTTTGATGCACAATAGACTTTAATGCTAAGTGACTCATGGAGCATCATTGTATGCATTCTGTTTGTCTTCCTCACTAGTATCAGGAAAGCTGCCTTTATAGCTATGAAAAAATTAAGAATAATACTGTGGGAAATATAATACTCTGAAAGAAAATGAAGTAAGGGCCTGAGGGAGAACATTTATTGACTACCTATAAGAAGTTTGCAAAGCAAGGATTAACATATGGTTAGATACCTGCTTAATTATCTTGTTGAATCTGAGCCAGAATATTACCTTAAGTTTATGTAACTCCTTGCATGACTATTTTCAGGCCCACAGATAAGGATCCCCTCCCTTCCCCAATATATTTTATTGACAGTGTTTTACACAATTTTAAGTTCATTAACAATTGCTACAGTGGTAAGGAAAAATACTAGTTCCATTGAAATCACTGGCAAATCTCCACTTGACTTCAGTGAAGCCAGGATTGTATACTAGATGTGTAATATTCTGAACCTAATGTATATATTAACTAGCACCCTTAGGGCACAATTATGCTCATGTTTACTTGAGTGCAGTTCTTATTGATGTCACTTGTGTAAGTGAGGTCAGACTTGGGAACCTACCATCCGCTCTTAACAGCTAGAAAATATGCTAAGTATGGAAAATAAGCTAGTGGGTATTGACTAACAAGCATTTACTAGCCATTCAAAGTAATTAGGACTGAAGAATTATTAACACAGGCATCTCTTTTGTATCAGTAAATGGTACAAATGACCAGGCTACATGCACTACATTACAACTAACTAACCAAGTACAGAGTTGTGATATAATTGGAATGGAAAATAAAAGTGATGTTAAGATCAATATGGCAAAATCCATGAAACCTAGTGCAGCAATTAACTGTATATAGGGCTTGCTCATATGGTTTCTGTGCATGGAACTTCTATGAAGACTCCAAAAACATTGTTATTGAAGTGGTTGCATGGTAGAAGCACAAAGTGTTACCCATTTAGAATGTTAATGGCAACAAGAACAATGAGCAAGACAATTATAAAATGCCTTAGAAAATCAGCAGCTTTACT